GGTTGGAAGAGAAGATTGCCACAAAAGTCGTAATATCTACTACTCTTATAAATTAAATACTCAGAATACAATATTGAAGTGGCGTTAGCATTAACAATCCCACTAATATTTTAAATGTGAAAGTTTGTATAAATGTTTAAATGTTTGTTACTAAATCACGCTTTAACAGCTAAAGGGATATATGAGTAAATGAAATTGGGTATACGAGTAGGTAATTCTTAACAGATAATACAGGTACTTTCTCTATAGTAAAAGAAGTTTAGAAGTTATGATTAAGTTTATAATTATAAATTCGCGTGCTTTAAAATATAGATGCGTGCGCGTGTTAAAATATAGATTTTAATAATAAAGTCTCAGGAAACAGTTAGTATGTATTAATTAATATAAGAATGATTTTTTTGTTTCCTTTTGGCCTATTAACGGCTCGACCAATCATCATGAAATTTTATAGCTATAGGTATATATAATCATCAAAAATAATGTATATATATATATATACAATATTTTTGATGAAAATGACATAGGTTACTTTATATTCTTTTTTAATTGACATATTGATTACGGAGACAAAGTCACAAAACATATAATCGAATGAGAATCAATGCAGAATAAATTAAAATACTGGCCGGCAGTAAATACGTACTAAGGTACCTGTAAAAATTTTAATCTTCATGAGTAGTACTACTACTACATTATACTACTTGATTAAATTATATTTTAAGTCAAAATTTAATTTTATTCACAAAACATAAATACAGATGAAATTAAACGTCATTTTAGAGACTTAATAAAACGAATAATAAAGAAAAAAATAGCAAACAAAATAGGTTATTATTCCGTCTATAAGTTGTACTTAAATTATTCTTCAAGAAACTTAAACGTTCACTGAAATTCGTAACAGTAATGTCATTATTTCATTTATATATTTGTCTGTCAGATACAATTATATTATCAAAGAGATGTCTGAATATAAATTAAGTAAAGGAAGCATGTCAAGATTACAGGAATTGAAGGAAGAAAATTGTATTTAGAAATATAATTACCTAACATAATGTTATATCATTATTATTAATAATCATGATTTGGAATAATAAAATTATCTTTTATAAAAATAAATATAAATTAGTTTCTTAAGTAGTCTCTTAGTGGAGCACCAGTGACTGGTAATGATTATGATGAGGATGAAACCAGGTCCATTAACTCAATGTGACAAATTCAACAAGAATTAATCACGATTAGATAGAGTGTATTGCTAGCAATGGAGCTGCTAAACTCCATCACTAATAATTCCTCTCCTCCCCAATATAAATTAGGTATACTTATTATTTGCAGTATATAAAATCAATTAACAAATTTCCGTGCTGACGACTGTAATCTTAAATTGGGTAGATAGAAGCTAATCGATTATGGCTGTTATCATTATAGGTAAAGATTTCCTAAAGGTATGACCACAAGAATAACGAATACCCGGTTCTGTTGATATAGTCTGACAGTCAACTGAATACATTCGGTTTTTATTGCAAAGCAGTGCTTGCATATATACAAGCAATTTTCCTCAACTTGGAATGACAAACAAACTGACGGTCTATCTGATGGAGGGCAAAGCAGTAAACTAAGATGTGACTATTTTGTGTTATTGTAACACACACACACAATTTAAACTTTTTGTTGTCATTTTATGTCTTTTCTGTATTTGAGCATGTTAATTTATCTTTTATTATATGTGTGTTGGGAACTAAATAAACTGATTAATATCTCTCTATGGTAAGTGGTTAATATTCAACTACAGACATAAACAGCACCATAAACAGTACAGAATACTCTATTTTATTTTATACCACTGAGGTGGCAAACAAGCATACGGCCCACCTGACGGTAAGCGGTTACCGTAATCTATGAACGCCTGCAATACCAGGGGTATTATATATACGCGTGCATATACTCTATGATACCACCTCCCATTTTTTATGAAAAAAATTCAAACAAATTATTAAGAACTGCCTCTTTTTTGAAATTGGTGAAAGATTGAATTATTATTAATGTTCCTATTAGCTTTGTAAAATGTTCTATATTAATTAAACTTGCTTAAGAAATTAAAGTCAAATTAGAATCGCGCCCTTATTAGAGTCTTTCAGTATTCTCTAGACGATGAGAAACAGCCAGATGCGCCACAAGCAGGCTTCCTTTTTATACTAGGTAGTTCATTAGTTTGCCTAATTATGTTTTTGTTAAAAATACTAATTAATTATCTTCTAACCATACAATTCTGTAATTACAATATTTTATGGTTAGAAGACTTGATTCATGCCACATAAATCTTTTAAACTTCGAAAATTACAAATGTTGGGGCAAAATAGCAAAAAAATGTAATAAGGGTCCCACAATCATTTCAATTACTCGATAGTCAAATTCTTATGATAAGGACAGCTCTTTTTGATAAAAATCAGATAACAAAAATAACCCAACGGCAAGACTCGAGATAATTTACAAAGTTTGAAAATGGTACCAGCTGATATCGAATCTGTATTTGATTTGCGCGACGTGCTCGGAACCCGCCGTACGGAAGTCCGTGGATATAGCAGAATATCTATATCGGAAATTGGAACTGTCAAACTTGGGTCAGTTAATGGTATTTACTTACCCGAACGAGTCACATAAAATTTTACCAGACATTAAAAAGAACATCCAATAAGTATAACATGTAAGTAAATATATAGTTCGAGTAACAGCAATATACTGTCACGATGAAAATCGTTGTTAGGGTTCCGTACCAAAAAGGTACAAATCCTTATGGTGTGACTTTGTTCGTCCATATGTACGTCAATCCGTTTGTCCGTCCGTCTCTATTAATGCAATTGATTGGAAATTTGGAACAATTTTAGATATTATTGGCCCAGACATATTTCAATGAAAATAATTCGAAAAATATTATTATTTTGCTAAGAGGTCCAAAAAGAGTATCTAAACAAAATTTCAAAATGACCTAGTATTATTATTATTATTATTCAATATTACGATTATTATTGAATAATAACTATTTCCTATGATAAATGCAATAAAGGTACTAGGCATCTCATATTTACAAGTGTATATTTATATATAGTCCATGGGCCAAATCACAACTAGCAATTTATTTTACTAGTAAATTCTCAAATTATATAAATTCTCAAAATATAAATAAAACAGTAATATATCGTAAACGTATTTACGTACTCATAAATATCTACCAACATAAACTCTCTCACTTTTGAATGACACAACACACAGCGTAAACCGGTAGGTTTGGTAATATGAAATTTTGCACAGGATATTTTTATAAAACGTAAAATAGGGAAGTACTAAAAAGAAATATTTCGAAAGTCCTACAAGAACGGAAAATAATAGTTTCGTGCGAATAAACCCGCAGACAACATCTAATATTTTATGAATCATGTTATTACTATGTTCAGATTTTATATTTATAAAATTATTACAGTACTTTGAAATTATAAACAATACTAAAAAGCTGAATAAAAATATCTAAAATTTATAATTAATTTCACAACGTAAGTTATGATGTTTCACAGAGTTAACCTTGGCCGTCATTTCGGCTCAACTCCCATAGATTACATACTTTACAATCCTTTTTACGATAATAGATCTCCTCCATAGCTACTGCTTCGTAAATAAACGGGCGAAATTACCACAATAACTTTATTTTTTATGTCATAGAGCAGTTACTTATTTATATCTGTTGTAACTATCAATGTATAATATGTAGATATATATTTTCTTCAAATATAAAAATATAACACAAATCCCGCATACTTTATTAGTTTACGCTAGTGGGATACCAGGGAGAGACGTCTAGTGAGTTAGTCCAACGCGACGAATTATTAATAATGATAATAGTCAATCATTATAGTTTCCAGGGGGTAGTGTGAAGGATAATATATTTTATTCAACTTAGAATGGCAAACAAACTGACGGCCCACCTGATGGAAAATCGTAACCGTCACCTATACTGTGACATCCATGATAAACTTCATGCGTTGCCATTCCTGAGTACCTCTTGTTGTGCCTCTAGTTGTGCCTCTGTACTCTGTAATTTCACTGCCATATCCCGATATGTTTCTATTTAGTCCAATATTTATAATATTTTAATGGCACCCTTATCTCCGTTACTATTAATCCCTTCCCACTTCATATGTACGTCTACTTATACATTATTGCAAAATTTTTACTATTTAATCCACAATACTCTTACTATAGGTATATTTTATAATTAATAAATTCGGTCAAAGGTTATCATTTTAATTTATCCGTACGATGTTTAAAATTTTATACCTATACAAAAATATCTTTATTTATATTATTGTGTTAGATAATAAAATTAATTACAAAACAAAACCATTTAGAAATAAAAATTATTAAAATATTCAATCAAAATTAAAGTAACAAAATATTTGCAGTAGGAAATAGCATTACAGAAACCATACAAGTATAGTAATTTATCAATTAAACAAGTATGTTAACGTGTTGAAATAAATAATACACTGTATATTAAAAGATGAAAATTATAAATATATATTATAGGTAACAATATAGGGAACAATATCACTGTCAAAAACATAAAATTTAAACTGAGAGCTTATTTACTGTCCAACCTTGGTAAAACAGCAGAATATTAATGTAAATAGTGATATTTGAGAACCGAATAAAGTATCACACACAAGCCCAAGAGGTTTAAGTGGTATTAAAAATCCAATTTTTTTTAATGTATTTATGTATGATAATTAAATTAAAAAAAAGGTAGCCTTAAATGCTCACATTATAGAAATACAAAATTAAGTTTTATAATTATTTTATAGTTTAGAGAAAAATATTTATATATAAAAGTGATATAAAATAAGAATTTATCATTATTCGTCTATGTTAAATCATAGTCAAAAACTAATTACTTGTAATTTGTACAAATTTAAATTAAATACCATGTTATTTTTTATAAACGCTACACTCACCTCAAACAATCAGTAATTTATTTCAGAATAGGACGTCAATACACACTGACAGCTGTTAATTCGTTCCGGAACGTTACCATCGGATACGATACGGCTGCTACTGCAGGAACATGCTGTTACCATGTGTCAGGCACCGCGGCGACGACTGAGGTAATACTGGGCCGTTGCGCGTGCGCCGCCTGTCTGCTATCTAACAAGTCTACTATACTCCGTTTAGTCTACAGTAGTGAGATCATTGACATGAGTAGGTAGTGATAATCAGACACATTTCATTGCATTTTGCCTGTGTATTGTGTTGAAGTAAGAATACAGTCTACCGTCATTTCTTTTCAGCTGGATTTTAAGTGACGTTTATGAAGACAGACATAAACTGCTGCAAGAGAAAGAAGATTCGGCATAAAATTCTGTACCAAGTTACCTAGCTGTGTGATAATACTAGACTGTGTTCTTCTTAGAAGAGATCAATGCCCAGTTGTGGGATTCATTGGAAAATTAATTAATTGAAATTTAATATAGTAATATTAATTCAAATGGAAAAAAATATTGGTGATATGAAAATAATTATTCACGTAAATCCTATATTAGGTATATTACAAAAGTAATAGTAGGCCACGTTCTTATCAGGAAAGATCCATGCTGTGCTGTGGGGTGATAATGTACTGTTATATAATATTATATATCAAAATTAATTGACATTAATATTTTATGTATATTAATGAATATGGAAAAAAAATTGGTGGTATACAAAAATTATTCATATTAATTCCATATTAGCAAAACCAAATTATAATTATTCCACCAAACAGTAAGTATTAAATTAAACTACGGTAGTTGTCTTTCGATATGATTAATTGTATTTCATTTGTATGACACCGGTATGTTAAATGTAGAATTATAACTGTAAATACAAACTAAATTAGTAATTCTCAATTGTCTATCAGTTCATTTGTATGTATAACTACTTACAATACAAAATGTACATGTTATTTGAATGTTGTGTTAATCACTAACTATTAGTAATTCACACCGCCTTTTCTATACATACATACATCATATCGAATCATGAATACGACTGATTAGGATTTTTTTTTTGTGATTAACGCAATATATATATGTAGTATAAGTAGTATAAGTAATTCATTTCCTTTTGCATTGGTTTACGAACTCTTCATTAACAGCAAACTTCTTTCCGCACTAAACCGTTTGATTTTAATATTTTTCCCACAAAAAAAATATATATGTGTAAATTATTATTTTTCACTAGTTTGTAAACAATTATTGATTTTTAAAACTAGTCTTTATTTTCTTTATTTCTAAAAAATAATAGATAAATTCGAATTTAATTTATAATAACAATTTAAAGGCTTGAGACTGTGAAATATCCTCAACTCGTGGCAGACGATCGGTTAGTATTTTTAAAGTAAAAATAACATCATAACTGTTCCAATTTTCTTAAATAAATGTAGCTACGATTTGCGGTACTATCGTATTGACAAACAGATAAAACGTTTGGTTTTTATCGTAATATTGTATACTATGTTTGTTGACCCAGTTCACTCTGACCGGACATGTTTTAAGTCTTAGGAATAGAAGAAACGCATGAGAGGTACCTTAGACAAAACAATGTTCATAATATTTGTAGTACTATAACATTTTTATTTTACTCCCCAATGGTTGTTATCATTTGGAATAACTTCAAATAGTACGAAAAAATATAAATTGTCAAAATTTAAAAAATTATAAATAAATAGGAATTGTCAAATGTCTTTTTGGTATATATTGCCTTCATGCGTAAAATAGAAGTACGAGATTATGAGTATAGAAAACCTCTATGCGAGCCTTCTGTGCGAGAGAATGTCTATATGCGACGGTTACAAATTACAAATATTTTATATATCGTAAAAAATCTAATATCTATAAATTATGCTGACTTTTCACCTTTTCATCTAAGACATCAACTTATATGTCATTTAAAAAGAAAATAACATTAATAATATTTGGTTATCTATGACTATTCCCTAATAAACGCACAATTTAATCTCTAAAGGAAGTCACTACATAAACATGAGAAACTGATGTAAGCGGAGATACTATACTCGTACTTAATAGATTATTTCATTAGACGGATAGTGAACACTATACTGCGGCGTACGTCGGGGTCAATGACCGTATTTAGTCAAATATTTATACAGCTTTTTTGATTTAGGTGACGCACTCATTCAGCTATAGCTTCTTACTTCACTCACTATCATTTTATCAAAATTTGCACGCTAGAAATATTGAAAATTATTACTACTATAGTCATCATCATCTTCCTACCCTTATTCAAATTATTATTTGGAGTCGGCGTAATATGGTTTCATCCATATTACAAAAGATTTGACTTATAGTTTTACGACAGGCCGCCTGCCTGACATCAACCCTCTTTGGGAATGTATTTGTTGGTGGTTTCTGCCACCTACGATATGGAGGAAAGGATTAAGGAAAAAAAGGAAGGGAACGTTAGCAATGCATAAAGGAAATTGGTGAATGAGAGGAATTAGAGACTTATGTGGGAAAGGAAAGGGGATGGTAGGGGGCACTACAGTTGCAGAAAGGACTGGGACACTGCAGCGGCTCGGATGGCCGGAGTCGCATACCCGTATGCCCTTATTTTAGAAATAGGACAGATTTCTAGAGAAGAACATCGTTGACGCATATTACTACTATATTCATTTAGTCTTATATATATATATATATATATATATATATATAGATATATATAATATATATATATATATATATATATATATATATATATATATCTCAACATTTCGGCTAGGTCGTTCGACGGCTATTAATTTGTAATCATTTTGGGCATATATTACAGGAGCTGTGAACTCAGACTGTCAGGTGGATGCAGATTACTTTGATATTAAAAAAGCATTTGATAGTAATTTTTTTAATAATAACGTACTTCTCCATAAACTTTCGGCTATCGCATTTTCTCTCAAATTAATTAAATTTTTCTCCAGCTACCTTTGCAATCGAATCCAGTATGTGCAGTTCAAAAGGAATCACTCAGACCCATATTACACATACTCCGGGGTAATTCAGGGCAGTAAATTGGGACCATTGGAATTTTTAATTTTTGTGAATGATTTGCCGGATTTGTCAATACAGCCTATTCTCTGTTGTTTGTGGATAATATGACTTGAAGATATTTCTTAAAATTACCAGTTCCTCAGACTGTGAGCTCCTTCAATGAAATATTAAAAATATTCTAAACTGGAGCATAAAGAATTACATTAATTCTATAATACTAAATGCTCCATTATAACCTTTAGTCGAAATGTTAAAAACATTACGTTTAGTTATCAACCAGGTAGCTCATTGATAAGTAAGGTAAGTTCGTTGAAGTTTTAGAAGGTTTATTGTTGGACAGTTCGACAATATTCCTTAGTAGGCATTTAGAACTCTCGGATTTGTATTGCGAGAAGCGGAACAGTTGGATTACATACCAGCTATTAAAATGCTATATAATGCTTTTATTCGTACTCAATTAGAAAGTAATGTAATTATTTTATAGCGCGGGATATCGTTAACGTAACACATAGGATCTATGAAATGATGGTATAAGGCAGGGGGAAGCATCCCGATGTGTCGACGTGCAACGGCTTAGCTGACCCCATATGCGATAAGATAATATAAGATAATGTAATTATTTAAAATCCACATAAGTCTAAATATTACTTATGATGGAAAAAATCCAAAAAAATTCGTAAGGAGGCTGTACCAAAAAACATAACAGTTTTAAAGTGTCTTATCTACATATATATTTGAGTACGTTTTTATTCGGTATGGTGGTATACACTTGAAGTGAAACGGAAATTAAATTGAATGGATTAAAATGTGTTAAAATTAGTGCGGGGAAAAATTTTTACCAAACTGTACTAGTATGATTATCAATAGAAGCACACAGTAAGTACGTGCGAGCATGTAAACGGCACTTATTTCATATTCTGTTCAGAAGAACAGAGTTGGCTAAGCAAGCTCTCATAATGTCTTGCATTGAACCTACTCAATGAACTTTTGAGCCGGTATCCGCAATTAGACGTGTTGGCTCTAACTTACTGGAGTTTCATCGGATGGCCACAAAGTGTATGTGGTCAGAAATTTAAGATCTAATGTTATTTCTATTTGAGTTAAATGTTATTATTGTTTTTTTTATTATGTATATTATTCCTTTTTATATGTGTTATTGTACTGATCAATCATATATCATATTGGGTGGGTAAACTAAAATGTAATTTTAAGAGAGGCAATATGATGCTACTCATATTTAACTATGTTACACCTAAATATCTTGGATATTACAATTTGAGTGTGTTTATATACTATTATATATTGTAAAATCATCATCATATCTGCCTTTAACTGTCCACTGCTGAACATAAGCCTCCCCTTGAGGATTTTGCCAGTTGCCACGCTTGGCAGGCGGATTGGCAACCACAGTCAGGACTTTGAAGATGTTTTAAGAGGAACACTGCTGCCCATCCCTCGCCCTCTCTTAGTTGGCTTTTACGACATTACGGGAAAGTAAGGGTGGCCTATTCTTTGCTAATTCTATTGATATTATTGATGCTTTCCTGGCTGAGCATATTGAGAGACTGTAAATCTCATCCAGTTGATGATATAAATAAATAAATTATATGTAATAAACGATAAGAATGAAGTCAAATCGATTCACCCAACGCAGCGAATTCTATAAAAAATAATCACAATGGTTTCCAGGGGCAACCGCTTGAAGGTCGACCCGACAGGGCAATAATAACAATTGAAGACTAACGTACGGTTTTATTTATATGTGGGTACCCTTACAATGACCCGTTAACCATAATTCATTAACGTTCCACTTACGGGCATGGGTCTCCCTTCATGAGAGAAGGATAATTTTATGAGCTACCATCATCAAAGCAGCAAGCTTAGTATTTATAGGATTTTATGTTGAATTTTCCTTATACAATTCTTTATTTATTTAATTTGTGTACAAACAGACCGTCTCAGATTTTGATCGCCTTTTAAATAGAGTTCCAAAGTCATTAAAATAAAACTACAGTGACCGTTTACCATCAGAAGGGTTGTATGCTTGTTTACCACCTACGTGGTATTAAAAAAAGTTTATCTTATCATCTCACTTCATTTTTAATATACTCGAGAGCCGAAAAAAGTATAATGTGAACCCTTACTACAATAATTTAAACGTAATT